ATTATGAGGCATCCAGGAAAATATCCAGTCAGCAGAACCTAGGGAAACAAATCTAATTATGGGACTTAAGTAATAAGAGAAACCAAGCTAGGGAGAGGTACGGAGGAGTCAGAAAGAGAAAACTAGGATGATGTGACTGGCATTAAAAGGAGGGAAACCTCAGGGGTGGTGGGGAATTATAATGCCAAACGCTGCAGAGAGCACCAGAATGCAGAGAAAAGATCCCTGCCTCTAGAGGTTGGTATCCTTCAAGAGTGCAGTTTCAAAAGAGTGGGCTAAGGGTGAGGAAGTGAAAGCTCTGGACATGGCCATTCATTCTAGAGGTCTGCTAGTAAAAGGTCAGGTTAGATCGCCTCTGGGAAGGGGAAAGTCAGGGAGTCAGACTTGCTCCCTCCTTATTTGAGAAGTCACTTATCAGCCCATTCTTTGAAACCCAGGGTGAAATGTCTATTCAATGACCATGGACAGGGTAACCTTCTCTCTTTTCTGCATCCAGCTGTGGCCAGTTTCTTCATATCAACATATACAGTGGACCCTGAGGGAGGCTAAACACTAAATTCTTCAGGTAAGTGTCTTAAAGCCACATGGGGTTCAGGTGTTGGTGGGGTTGGGAGGGGGTGTGGACAAGGGAGATCAGACACTGTTATTTTGGGAGTAATGTGCTCCTTTGACCAACATGAAGTGGGGCAAAGCTTCATGGTGTAGGTAAGAGGCTGGAAACTTAACTATTTTCAGTACTAGGCAGGTATCATAAGTGAGTGAAGTAGGCAGGGCAGGCCGGGGGTGAAATGTGAAGTGCAAGCCCCGTTTAGTATAGGACAGAGGCTATGCAGCACCAGCTAATCGTTGCCTCGTAGGGATGTGGTTCCGGTATGTGTAAGGCACAGAAGCAGGAAGGAGAGTCTGGATTATTCTAGGAGCCAAATAAAGAACAGTGTGGCTGGAATGCTGTGAAAGAAGGAGTAGAGATGTGAGTAGGGGTCTTGTAGGCCATGTCAAGGCTTTGTGGCCACCCAGTGGATATGACTGGGGACTGGCAGAGAGGGAAGAGTATTTTTATTCCCGTTTATTACCTTCCCAGGACAGCCAATAATAGCCTTCTTACCTTAATCAAAGTAGTTTAATAGGGTTACCATTTCCTCAATTCTACAATAAAAATATTAAAGAACAAGCTTACCTCCTGGGCAAAGAAATTTTGTTTTTTTGGTAGGAATTCTGTAAGCATTGCATGATTTTTTCCCTGCTTGCAAAAGGCATACTTTATCTTTTGGAAATGGGACATCCAGGTCTTAATGTATTTACCTTCAGAACAATAGATTATGTTTTTGTTGATTAAATCCGTTTGTTGGTTAAATTCACAAGAAAACAAAAACGATTCATTACACGGTGAATATTGAGTAGTTTTCAGTTTTGTGAAGAAGATCGGTCCGTGTCCCACAACAATGGTACCATTTACTGAAATGAAAAAGCATAGTAGAATAAAAGACTTGATGAAAGAAATCAAGAGTTTTGATTTTTTTTTTTTTAAGACAGAATTTCACTCTGTAGCCCAGGCTGGAGTGCAGTGGCATGATCTTGGTTTACTGCAACCTCTGCCTCCCGGGTTCAAGTGATTCTCCTGCCTCAGCCTCCTGAGTAGTTGAGATTACATGCGTCTGCCATCACGCCTGGCTAATTTTTGTATTTTTAGTGGAGACAGGGTTCCATCATGTTGACCAGGCTGGTCTCAAACTCCTGACCTAAAGTGATCCACTTGCCTTGATCTTCTAAAGTGCTGGGATTACAGGTGTGAGACACCGCACCTGCCCAAGGGTTTTGACTTTTTAAAAAACTTTGATATGCCTACCAGATATGCAAATGGAGATGCCAAGTAGGCAGTTAGTGAGGTAAACCAGGAGGTCAGGACTAAAGATGTGTTTGGGAACCTTTAGCTTATAAATGGCATTAAGGCAATAGGAATGGCTGGCATCAGATAAGAAGAGCACATAGATGTAGAAGTGAAAGGGACCCACATGTGAGCCTTAGCTCTAGTCTTTACACTTGATCTTAGCCAAAAGGCTGAGAAGCGATAGCTCTAGTCTTTACTTGTGCTGCAGAGGAGGAAGTGGATCTTCAAAGAGCCCAAGAAGCAGCTAGGAAGGAAGGAGTAAAACTAGGGGAATGCAGTGCTGCAGAAGCCAAGAGAATAGAATGTGATATTTATAATGAAAAGGGGGAAGGTTGAAAAGATTGAAGGAAATAGAAGGGTCAGGAAGTCTATGCTTTAGTAGTTGGTCTATAATGACACGTGAGCTTAGTTTTTCTTATGAGTTATTTTCTTACTCACCTCTTAGACAGCCATAGATATGCCCTTAGTTTTGTTTTGTCTGTGATCCTCCCCAGGGCAGTCCAGACTCAGGGTAGATTCTGGTAGATTTCCCGCTCTAGATGAATTAGTAGTGCATTCCATGACATATCCCCTAATTTTCTTGCTGGTTTGGGCACCCTAGATGTTGCAAGTATTTTTCTACCTGCACTAACTTTACAGATTATTCCTTCTCCCACTCTGAAGAACCTTGGAAGTCTTCAAAATTTGATCCCCTTGAAAGGAAAGCATTCTCTTACCTGCCCAGTGGGATTTCCCCTGAGCTTCAGGTCATCTTGCACGGACATGGCAGTAACCCTCTTTTTTCTCTTTTCTTTGAAGTTTCCATGAATCTATTCCTTGGAAACTCATCCTTCTTCCCGATTAAGCTTCTCTATCTTGCCCTACTCCACTGACTAATAATGTAATTGAGAGCTGGTATTTGAGATTAATTAACTTTGACGAGCTTTGTTTTTCTTTTTTATTGTTTTCAGCCATTATTTCAGTTCTTCCCCACTCCAACTCCCCAACCCCTTCCCTCTGAACCTTGTGGTCTTGAGAGCTGGTCTCTGTCACATGTCTTGTTGTGCTGAAGGTTTGTGAGATGATTCTGTATAACTTAGTTATAATAATTAATTTATACTGTTATTAATTTGTACAAATATATCATAATACCAACAATGCTGACTGACATTTATTGAGCTCCTTTATGTGGCTGAGAGTTATGCTAAGGGCTCCAGGTGTATTGCCTTATTTCATTTTAATAAAAATCCATTACGTATTCATTTATTTATTAAAAAAATTTATTGAACACTTGCCATATGCTAGATATGCCAGGGTTACAGTGATAAACAAAACAGTCATTGTCTTTGTTCTTAAAGAGCTTAGGGTATACTCGGAGAAATAGACATTAAAAAAATAAAAATAAATATTTAACGATGTGATAAATGACACAGAAGGTATAACAGAATAATAAGATCTATTTATTTTGTTTTATTTTATTTATTTATGTTTTTTGAGGCAGTGTCTTGCTCTGTCACCCAGACTGGAGTACAGTGGTACAATTTTGGCTCACTGCAACCTCTGCCTCCTAGGTTCAAGTGATTCTCCTGGCTCAGCCTCTGCAGTAGCTGGGATTTTAGGCATGCACTACTATGCCAGACTAATTTTTTTGTATTTTTAGTAAAGATGAGGTTTCAACAAGTTGGCCTGCTGATCTTGAACTCCTGGCCTCAAGTGATCTGCAGACCTCGGCCTCCCAAAGTACTGGGATTATAGGCATGAGCCACAGCTGCCAGCCTAGATGATTCATTTTAGATAGAGTGATCTGGGAAGGTCTCTCTTAGGAGGTGACATTTAAGTTAAGAGCTAAACAATAGGAGGACCCCAGCATGCAGACGAAGGGCCTGCAGACAGATGTAAATAACTAACATAAAGAACTTTTCCTTTAATAGAGGAGCTGAGAAGATCAGGGAGGCTACATAGAGGGTGTTGGAAGGGGAATGCTAGATGAGGCTGAAGTTGGACTAGAATAACTAGGGCCATGGAAACTGGATTTCATTCTGAGGGCATTGGGAAGTCTACAGGGTTTTAAACAGCAACTGAAGGATCCAATTTATATTAAAAACATTATTCTGGGCCGGGTGTGGTGGCTCACGCCTGTAATCCCAGCACTTTGGGAGGCCGAGGCGGGTGAATCATGAGGTCAAGAGATCGAGACCATCCTGGTCAACATGGTGAAACCCCGTCTCTATTAAAAAAATACAAAAAAATCAGCTGGGCATGGTGGCGCGTGCCTGTAGTCCCGGCTGCTCGGGAGGCTGAGGCAGGAGAATTGCCTGAACCCAGGAGGCGGAGGTTGCGGTGAGCCGAGATCGCGCCACTGCACTCCAGCCTGGGTAACAAGAGGGAAACTCCATCTCAAAAAAAAAAACAAAACAAACAAACAAAAAAAACATTAGTCTGGCTGTCTTGTGGAGAGTGGGTTGGAGAGGGACAAAAAACAAAAGCGAGAAGAATTGTTCTGAGGTTAAGGTAGGATTCCAGGTTGGAGGTGGTGATACAGGATGGTGGTCAAGGAGTTGGGGGAGAAGTGGAAGGTCCAAGAAATATTTTTGAGGTAGAGTCCAAAGGGCCTGGTGACAAAGACGCTGGAGTTAAGGATGACTTAGATTATTGGCTTAAACAATGGAGCTGATATGATACCATCCTCTTCCTTTTTCTGTCTGTGAGACTAAGGCTCCGCGAGGTTAGGCAATACGTCCCAGGAGATTCGTCTATTAAGTAATGTACAAGTTGAGCATCCCATATCTAAAAATCCAATGTCTGAAATGCTCCAAAATCTGAGACTTTTTGATCACCCACATGAATGAAACTCAAGGGAAATGCTCATTGGAGGATTTTGAATTTCAGATTTTTGGATTTGGGATACTCAACCAGTAAATACAATGCAAATATTTCAAAATCTGAAAAAAATGGAAATCTGAGACAATTCTAGTCCCAAGCATTTCAGACCAGGGATGCTCAACTTGTATCAGGATATGAGCATGGGCCTATCCAACTCCAGAGACTACACATGTAACAAATACACTGTATTATTTCTCAGTAAGTCACAATCCTGCTGCTTTCTAACAGGAGAGAAGTGATTGTCTTCTGGATTATAAACTCTCTGTCAACCATAATTCCATTTGCTTATTTATCAAAGAGAGAGTCAATCTGCTGGTGTGTTATCTTTAGCATGTTTTGGTCTGAAGTGAATTGGAAAATATCGTCTGAGCCACCTGCTGGAAGTGATGTTGTCCTTAGGTGTTTGACGTGGGTAAGCAGGTTTAAATCCGAAGGAGTGGAGATGATAATCCTATCCCAGATATTCAAATTCTGTTGGTGGGCAGAAAAGCAAGCTTGCTGCTCTTTGTTCTCTTCCATGGGATCAGAAGGTGCGTTATTCTTGAATTCCTTTGAGGCCTTTCAGCAGCTTACATGACATTGTCAAAGGCAGTTGCCCTGGAAGAAGTGGGTTTACTCTGTGGGAAAAAGAGGAAGATGAAGTAGGTTAATAGGAACTGGAACCTCAGCCCACCCCTCATGGCTACGAGAGAGGATTGGAGACTAGTGACAGGCAGATAGTAGAGATATTGAGAGCATAGGGCAGGATTAAATTTAAAAAAACATGTAGGTTGAAAATTCAGTTAGGCATGGTGATCCTAGTATGAAATAACTTCTTGGATATGTTTTGGTGATGTCCCAAGACTTCTGTATGCTGTTGGTATTTGTGCATCTGTAAAATGACCCTTTTATTTTTACTTTATTTGCAAAATCATAGGTCTGTGGAGAGAGGTGAGAATATAAAAACATGGAGCAATCATGGGCTTACCTCTTTGGAATCATTAATTGTGGAGTAAATCGTGAGAAGATTATTTTCTATAGGTGTTGAGGTTTCCATTTCCTGTAAAAATAGTCATGGTAATTTGGCTTACACAGAGACAAAGAGACTAAATGCATAGACATATTCTTAGGAAAGGCTGTGTGACCAAAAAGAGCATATGTCAAAGTTCTTCCAGAGGAAGGCCAGGGAATGTTTAGTGGGAGACCAAACACTGCTAGCTTTCAGACCTGTGAAGGTTTACTGGCATTTCCTGAGCCCCAAGCAGATGAGCAACACGGCAGCAAACCAGTGGGTCAAGAGCCAGAGAAAGGCAACCTTGCTGTATGGAGGGAAGGAAGCATTCTTGTCCTTTGTCCAACTCTGCTTTCCTTCCTCCATTTTTAAGGACAGACTTATATACCACAGTTATATTTTACGTTGTGTCTCAAATTTTTGCTAGCTATAACTGGAACTGCCCATTTTGCCTGCTCCATCTTCTGCTATAATTCTAACTGCCTTATCATTATGTCATTGGGGTCTCCTCAAGCATGGGGAATAGGAGCATTTGGCCTTAAGAATGGCTCTGCCTGGAATGCACATTCCAGAAATAATAGCAGAAGTCCCTACGCCCCTCCAAGAACCTGCTCAAATATTTTGACACTTTAAATTAATTAAGAAGTATTTAGAGAATTATCAAGATCTTGGCTGGGCACAGTGGCTTATGCCTGTAATCCCACCACTTTGGGAGCCTGAGGCAGGCAGATCACTTGAGCTCAGAAGTCTGAGACCAACCTGGGCAACATGGTGAAACCCTGTCTCTACAAAAAATAGAAAAATTATCTTGATGCTTGTAGTCTCAGCTACTTGGGAAGCTGAAGTAAAAGGGTCACATTAGTCTGGTTGAGGCTGCAGTGAGCTGTGATTGTGCCATTGCACTCCAGCCTGGGTGACAGAGTGAGACTCTGTCTCAAAAAAAAAAAAAAATTGTCAGCTGGGTGCGGTGGCTCATGCCTATAATCCCACCACTTTGGGAGGCGAAGGCAGGAGGATCACAACGTTAGGAGATTGAGACCATCCTGGCCAACATGTTGAAACCCCGTCTCTGCTAAAATACAAAAAATTAGCTAGGCGTGGTGGTGGATGCCTGTAGTCCTAGCTACTCAGGAGGCTGAGGCAGGGGAATAGCTTGAACCTGGGCAGCGGAGGTTGCAGTAAGCCGAGATCCTGCCACTGCACTCCAGCTGGGCAACAGATCAAGACTCCATCAAAAAAAGAAAAAAATCAGAAACTCTCCAAAGTACCTTTTGTTTTTCTTTTTGTTAAAAAGAAAGCTAATAAATTTGTGGAAAATTAGTTTTTTGGTTTGTTGGAGAGTTAATTGACTTGTCTTCAAGAGGAATTTGGAAAGGCAGTAGAAATGTTTAAGCAACTGAGAGTACCCCTTCTTGCTCCCTGTCATCAAGGAGCATGCTTTGCAAATAATCGAAGGGAATCCAAGACTTCTAGCTAGATCATTGTTTCTATCATATGGAAAATGCTGAGCTTTCCTGCCTTATTTTTCAGAAGACATGAAAACTAGCCTCTCAAAATGTATAGTATTATTTAGAGACATGCCACCTGCAGGTCCTTTATTTAGGGGTGGTGGGAAGTTGCTGATGCATGACAGATGAGTTACTGATGCTTGATCAAAGCATCCTGTTATGTTGCTAGATGGGTGGAGAGGAGTGAACCATTGCTTATAGTTTAGTGGCCTCTACTGTGCCCCCTTCCCCTCTTGAGGGACTACTTCTGAGCTCCCCCTAAGACCCCTATAACCACAGTGAGAAGCCAGGCTTCTGCTGTGGAGCTGCATCCACTGGAAACTTTCAAACTTAGTGGAACCCTGACCCATTCAGCAAGTATTTACTGATCATTATGCTAGGATATGGGGGAAGAGAGAGGAAGACATAATTTGTACTTTCAGGCAGCTTGTAATTAAGCTGAAGGGACAAGACTTACTGAAGCATCAAGCAGCTGGAGAACAGTGTGAAGCCGGGTATGAACAAGGATTCCCTTAAGGGCGAGAACGGCAGACACCAGAATGGTCTAGCACATAACTTTGCAGCCCCTGTCGCTGTCTTCTCCTCCCCTCAGTGGTCATTTGATCAGTCAGATGGTTATGGTGGTAAGTTTGTGAACAATGGCTGTAAAACTGACAACAATGGGGCATAAAGCTGAAAGGACTCACCCTTGTTGAATGAGTGACTGAAGCATACACAGTGTTGTTCACTGGAGAGACTGAAGCATCGCCTGTGTTCCCCGCGGACTCTGCTGTTAACACAGGAAGGCACAGTCAGTGGCAGAAGGACTCTGGGACTGCTATTCCAGGACCTCACCCTCCCCAGAGCACACGGTGTCCCCAGATAGGCAGGTGTTTGACGCGTTTCATTTCCTGAGGGATCATTCATTCTTGATAGTCTTTGGAGTTCTGGGTTGGCCTTCTCAATCATGTGGTCAATATCTAACCACATCTCTTGGGGTAGGAGGTAGTACTGTGGTCCCCTAAAGCTTCAGAGTCTCCCCCAGGCTGCACATGTGGGTCAGGAAGCTCCTGGGACCACATGGTACTGCCTATGGAAGGGCTAGAGACAACTTGCTGGCAAACATAATGGAGCCAGTTATTTCACATATGGGATATTATTGAGCTTTTCAGAGTCCCCTGTAGTAGATTTGATTATTTTGGAGATGAGAAACTGGAGGCTCAGAAGGCTTAGCTGACTTGGGCAAAGTGACACAGGAAGTGATGGAACAGGAACTCAATGCATGTCTTCTGACTTCAAACCTTATGCCTTTTCCTCCACAAGTGATGTCATGCATCACTCACGCATGAAATGAGACCCAAAGCTATTCTGAGTCCAGAGCCCGTGTTTGTGTTTCTATCATGTGTTCTCTTTCCACTGTGTCTCTTCATTGTCCAAACTCTGGCTGAACAGCAGTGATGCGGTCAGGCAGTTTGGTTTTGTGCCTCGGATGCTGTAATCCTGCCTGTGCCCTGGACTTGCTGGGTAACAAGGGAGGATCCCTTTCACTGGCACTTAGTTTCTCCATCAGCAGGGTAGTGAATAAACCTGATATCACCAAGAGAAACTGTGTGAGTGACTGGTTCGCATGCTTGTGCCTGTGAACCCTATAGGACCCATGATTATAGTTCATCTTCCCTCACACCTTGTGGCCTGAGTAATGGCATTCTGACTCTCTCCTATCTCATTATCCAGCCCTCTGCTATCCCCTTTTCTCTTCCATTTGGTTCTTCCCACCTACTTTATGACAGAGAGTTAAGAGTCTGAATGCTCACCGGGACCACGTGTTTGCTGAATAGACAAAGGAAGGGAACCTGAAAAATAAAACAAAAACATTGAACTGTGTGACAGCAGTGGGAGAGGCATTTCACCCCCAGCCCCATGGTTATTGGGATATTGTGGGAGGGGACCCAAAAGGGAGAGCAGGCAGCCCTGAGGCAGGGTCCTTCTTTTCTCAGTAGGTCACTTCCCTTAGGATATTAGCAGGTACATGATCACACCCAGGGATCATCCCAGTGGACCAGCTGAGCCAGGGTTTGCAGCCTCCTTCCCTCCTCCTGTCCTCCACAAAAGATCCTTGGGAAACAGAGGTTCCAAACTCTCAAACCCTGGAGGCTTGGAGAAGAGACAAGCAGAAAGAAAGGAAACCTGCTCTTCTTTTCTTCAAAACAAGTAATAGCACGATGATGAATATGATGACTATGCCTGCCCCAAGAATCACAGCCAGAATCATATTGGTATCTGTATATTGATTTTCAACATCTGAAAAGAGAAAAAAGAAATGACATTGAGACACATCAAGTGAGGTCAACTGTTCTTGGAGCCTCCATGGAGCCTCTTCTAGTCCATCTTTGGGGGCTGGGTAGGTTTTTCTATACCCAGAGGCTCTGGGGTTGGAGTCCTGTGTGGCAGGCAGGGGAGGGTGGGACCCAGTGGAGTCAGGGAGGGAAAGCAACCCTGCCTTCCCAGGCCTTTGGTCTTGGGTTCTGAGTGTGTTGGAGGAGGGATTGGGGAATGAGGAGGAAGGAAGGTGAGTCCTCTGGGAATACTGAAAGATGCAGAGCTCCAGAGGGCATCCGTCCCCCCCAGCAGCATTTTCTGCCTCCCACTGGGCCACTGTTTTGGAAATTATGTAGGGTGTGAGGATGCACTAAATCCCACAGCTGCTCAAGGCTCTCAGATCTGAGGCAGGCTGTTACCTCCACAAAGCTTCTGGGCAGAAACAGAGAAGGATAAATTGCTGACGGCATTCTCTGCTATGCAGGTGTAGTCCTGTTCACTGGAATTCCTGGGGTCCCAGGAGATAGTGAGGTTTGGCTCACTTAGAAGTGTCTTTCCCAAGGCCTCCCATTTGAACGAGATGTTGTCATTTGGATCCTCCACAGAACAAGTCAGATGGATCTCACAGATCCTATTCCGAGATAGTTGACTGTGATTGGTAACTTGTATGTTCTTCAGTTTTCCTGTTTGCCGAGAAAAAGAAAAGACCCAGATTAAGGGCAAATGTCTTGGCTCAGCCCCCTGTGAAAAATATCCTTTACCTCAATGTTTTGTATTTCACCTTTGTTGTATGTTACGGCCTGTAAACTCTGTAAATGACTCTGCTTATATTGCCCAATTGATGTTAGGAAGGTCTGGGGTGACCAAATGATGTGGGACATCAGTATGGGTCAGGATAGCCAGTGGGAGAAGTGGGAAGGGAGAGAATGGGGTTTCCGTCAACTAGTGTAATTTTGGGGTGGTCACTTTGTATTCCTTGGCTCCAGTTTATCCCTGGAGTCCCTTTGAGTCCTTGCACTCTACCAGAGAACTCTGAGGGCATCTCCATGAAGTCAGAAGCCAAAAGACCAGCTGCAAGAGCCCTGTTTCCTCTGTTATCAGAATTCCCTTACTGGGGTGGAAGATGGAAGTGTCACTTCCTTGGGGAATTACAGCTCCCATCAATTTATGGGGATCCTGGTTCCCACTGTATCTAAAGATGGTTCCAGTAGTGAGAAAGAGACTCAGATGTAGAAGGTCAGCAAGACAGAAAGGAAAGTGCTGAGAACCAAAGAAGTGGGGAAGGAAGAAGTGAAGAAGCTGAGAAAGCAAGCAGGTATTTCTGGGGGCAAAGAAGTGCAGCATATTCAGGCCTGTGAGATGAAACATGATGCAGAAGACTATTTCTGAGAGCGAAGACTAGGAAATATTGCCTAGTAAGCTGTCAGTAGCTGTGAACCAATGGGAACACAGGAGCAAGACAGAAAAGGCCACTGACTTAGCCTTGGCCTGAGGGTTGAAGTAAAGATGACACAACCAGGAACAGGATGACTCAAATTCTCTGATTAGAAGAGACAGAGTAGGCCGGACATAGTGGCTCACGCGTGTAATCCCAGCACTTTGGGAGGCCGAGGCGGGTGGATCACTAGGTCAAGAGATCGAGACCATCCTGGCCAACATGGTGAAATCCCGTCTCTACTAAAAATACAAAAAAATTAGCTGGGCGTGGTGGCACGCACTTGTGGTCTCAGCTACTCGGGAGGCTGAGGCGGAAGAATCGCTTAAACCCAGGAGGTGGAGGTTGCAGTGAGCCAAGATTGCGCCACTGCACTCCAGCCTGGTGACAGAGCAAGACTCTGTCTCAAAAAAAAAAAAAAAAAAGAAGAGACAGAGTAGTACTTTAAGCTGAGTAGGGGTTGTGGAGCATCTGTACTGAAATCTTGCCAGAACAGAGTTTTCATGTATGGGAAGAGTCTTGGATTTGGAGTCAGGAAGACCTGAATTAAGATCACGGCTTTCTCATTTCCTGGCTACATGACCATGGACAAATTACTGCTATCTCTAAGCCTCAGTTTCCTTATATGTGAGACTAGGTAATAATATCTACTTCTCAGGTAAACCTGAGGAATAGCTGAGACAGTGCCTAGCGCAGGGACGGCAAGTATTTGGCATGAAAATGACATCTCCCTCATCTCATGTTGATGGCTGAACAAAAAAATCCATCTTGCTACCTTTTTCCACTTAATGAATATGTAAGAACATTTCCACAAGTATGTAAGTATATAAGTATATCTCAAACTCAGCATGTTCAAAAGGAATCCTGTTTTTCTCTCCCAAACCTTCTCAACCTGCAGTTTTACCTATCTGACTTGATGACAACTGCCTCCTTGCAATTACTGAGACGCAAACCCCTGGAGTTATCACTGACTCATATCTTCATCTCATACTCCCACATCAGGAAATCCTGCTGGCTCTACCTTCAAAATATGTCCAGAATGCAACCCCTTCTCACCATCTCCACTGCTACCACCGCGATCCAAGCTAGCATTAACTCTTGCCTGAGTTATTGCAATGGCCTCCTAATTGGTCCATTGTACCCTTCTCCCTTAAAGTCTATTCTCAACAGAGCAGCAGAAGAAATCCTTTAGACAAGTAAGCCACATCATATTACTTGTTTGCAAAACCATTTGATGGTTCTCAGTGTCACTGAGAGTAGAAGCCAAAGTCTTTGTGGTGGCTCTGAGTCCTTATGTAATGTGGCCCCTGTTTCCTTTCTGGCCTCGTTTTCTATTACCCTCCCCCGTTCTCTGCTCCTGGATGTTTGGCCTCCATGGTGTTTCTTGTGTAGGCCAGGCACAGGGGACCTGGCTACTTATGCTGGATGGCTTGTCTTCCATGTACCTGCGTGGCCCACTCCCTCACTTCCAACAAGTGAGGCCTGTTCTGATCACTCCCTTTAAAATTGTCCTTTCTTCCCTGGCACTCCTGATGCTTCTTATGCTGTTCTAATCTCTCCTTTGTTCATACCACTCAGGGCTTGCTTACATGCTATATCATTTGTTTGTGTGTTATGTGAATTGTTTGTTACCTGCCTCTACTTCCCTTCCGGAATGTAAGCTCCATGAGGACAGTGACCTTTGTCTGTTTTGCTCACTGATGTATTCAGGTGCCCACAACAGAACCTGGAATATTACTTGAGTCTATCAAATATTGTTGACTCAATTAATAAACTTAACATGGCTTCAACATTTTCTTAACCCTGAACTCTAGGGAGTTGTATTATTTTGTTTTCACACTACTATAAAGATACTACCTAAGAATGGGTAATTTATAAACAAAAGAATTTTAATTGACTCACAGTTCTGCATGGCTGGGGAAGCCTCAGGAAACTTACAATCATGACAGAAGTGCAAGGGGAAGCAAGGCACATCTTGCATGGCAGCAGGAGAGAGAAAGAAAGCAAGGAAGTGCCACACTAAAAACCATCAGCTCTCTTGAGAACTCACTATCATGAGACCAGCATGGGAGAAATCTCCCACATGATCCAGTCAGCTCCCACCAGGACCCTCCCTTGACATGTGGGGATTCCAATTCGAGATGAGATTTGGGTGGGGATACAGAGCCAAACCATGTTAGTGGTCACTCCTAATTAACTGGCATTGGCCCATAAAATCAAATCTTTGCCATCCGTATCCTGGCACATACCAAGAGATTGATCAATGTTAAAAATAAAACTTACATAGCTTATACCTTGAAATCCCTTTGCACTATTGTAAAACTAGCTGGTGTACTGACGTAGCTTACACAATTCTTTGTGTATGTGCCTTGGAAGGAGATGGCACTCCAAAAAGCCCTGAAAGAGATTAGCGTTGAGCCTCAAGAGTGTGGTTGTTTCAAGAGAAGTCATAGCTGGTCTTCTCAACAATGTTAGAGGAACATTATCTCAGTAAATGTGATGGAGCCTGGTACCCATTTCAGGCTTTCCATTGGATGACTCCTTCTTCTCTCCAGTGTCCTACACTGCCTTGACAATCACTGATCACCCAGGGTGATTCTGCCGGTAGTAGGTTGAATAAAGACCTCACAAAAGATCTATGTCCTAATTCCCAGAATCTGCATATTACCTTATTGGAAAAAAGGGTCTTTGCACATGGAAGTAAGTTATATGAGATTATCCAGTATAATCTGGAGAGGCCCCAAACCCAGTGACAAGTGTTTCCATAGGAGAAAAGCAGAGATGTTCGCGACAGACAGAAGAAAAGGAGGCAGTGTGACCATGGAGGTAGAGATTGGTGTGAGGCAGCCACAAGCAAAAGAAAACCCAGGAGTGTTGATAGCTACCAGAAACTGGGAGAGGCAAAGAGCGGATTGACCCCTACGGCCTCCAGAGGGAGCGCAGCCCTGCCTACACTGTGATTTTGGACTTCTGGTCTTCAGAACTGTGAGAGAATATAAATTTCTGTTACGCCACCTACTTTATGGTATTTCTGTCCCAGCAGCCTCGGGAAATTAATACATAGCCTCAGGGCAATTTTCCCCTTTTAGTTAGAATCTCTTATATAGTTTTCCAGACATCATCTCTTTCCCATTACATTTATCTGTTTGGTGTTCTATTCTTCAAGGACATGACTTTGACTAATCTAACACAATACACCTGCCAGATATTCCGGGGATACTAAAAGTTAACATGTAATCTGTCTTTGAAGACATTCCATTTAACAGTCCTTTTTTGAGAGCCATGTCTTAACCCCAAGGACTCTGAGTGAATTTGAGACACCACAGGCCCTCAAGTGGATAAGAATTAAAGAATTTTAGTGGCCTTTAGTGTTGCCTGGTCTGATTGCCAATTTAATGCTCGAATCTCCTGCTAAGTGATTATAAAACCATTAATGGCATCTCTGAATGTTACTGATTGCTAGAAAGGTTTTTTCTGATATTGACTCATAAGCAATCTCATCATAGTTTACATAATTTTATGATGATAACATTTTCATTCTTTTTCATCTTGAGAAGGCAGATGGTTGACTGGTGATTAATATGAGCCATCTGGGGAAAATATTGTTAAAAATTAAATAACCTTGGCAGAAAGGATGTTTCTCATTATCAGTTTATCTTTGCAGAGCACTTTCTAGGTAGACCACTGTTCTGTACAGAGACCACTCTACTGGGTCAGACTAGCCTTTGTGAAAACGGAGGTGTCGTGGCAGGGCAGTTATGTGGGAAGTGCTGCCACCACTATCTCTGTGACTTGTAGGCAAGTCACTGTGACTGAGGCTGTACCTCAGGGGTAAGGTCTGTAGCTACCTCATGGAGCCTTTGTGAGAATTACATGGCAAATACATGTAATGCACAAGGCAACACTATCATAAATATTTCATTTCCATTACTTCTACTACTCTGCTGGTTGAAAACGACTGTTTTATTGGAGTGAAGTAATTTTGGGCTGTAACACAGACTTAGGTCTGTCCTCAGCTCTGTCACTATCTGACTCTGTAATGTTGACTTGACACTGACTCAATGACTCCAAATACCACACTCTATACTACTAGGCTATAGTGCACATTTGAAGTCACATAGGATTGAAATACATGTATATTTTTCCATTCCTATGGAATTAAACCCCATGTTTTGACTCACTGAATATCCTCAGAGTGTAACTGGACACTTTTACAGTGGTCTCTGAAGACATCTGGGCACTGTAAGAGCCTGTGTCTTCCATCTCCAGGTTGCTGAGTTGCAGGGAGTAGGACTGGGTGAAGTTCAGTCGCTTTCTCCATTTCGGATTAGTCACGTGGATTTGTGGACTTTTGGCTTCACAGGGTGCTATGAAGGCAATAGATGTTCCATTGTAAAGCCAAGTAATGGTCTTGATCGTCTCTCCTGCAGGAAACTCCAGGCGAAGAGTTATTGACTCCCCCAGAACCCCATTCACCATCAGTGGGGTTGAGCTGGTTTGTAAAACTGGATTCCCTGTAAACACAGAAGGAAAAGGTTTTAAAAAATGTTCCTGACAAAATCCCTGCCTAGTCCTTCACCCTTTCGCCTAACTCTGCCAGTCTGTTAGAGCTCTCTGATACCAAAACTCAGAGACATGACAGAGTAGGAAGGTTTAAGGAGATGTTTCTAAATGGATAATCAGAGTCCCAGAGCTCCACCTCCAGCAAAATGTCAGACACTCTTGGTTAGTAGGCAGCTGGTCTGGATGAAACTGGCCCAGTCCACACTGGGTCCTACACTGGCAGGTCACTCCCAGGTCATGACTATACTTTGTGACCCCAGCCTCTGAATTCCTTGGGCATTAGGTTGAGGGGGACAGGAAACTATTATAGACTCCAAAAAACTGCAAGTCTTTGCTGATAAAGTGTAATTAAAGCCTGACATTTACTGATTACCTATTGTGTGTCCAATATAGTAGGCTTGTGCAATTTAGAAGGTAACAGAGACTAATATCAGGGATTTATAGCATAGTCAGTTGTTCTTATACATTATTTCATTGGTGCTGACAACAATTCTGTGAGGCAGGCAGGATGGATATTACTGCTTCCATTTATAGATAAAGGAACTGAGCCACAGAAAGGTTAGCTAATTTTCCCAAGGTTGCACAGCTAAAGAATAGCAGAGTCAGAATTCAAACTCAGGTCGTCTGACACCAATGACTGTGCTCTTTTCATGATGCCAGAAGGTACTTTTTATTCTCTCAGAAAGATTATAATGTAGTTGTTGAGGAGATAAAATGGATACATATAGAAATAATGAATATAATTTCGAAGTAACACACGATAGCATTATTGTGAGCCTATTCAGAACCATCAAGGTTTAAGCAAAAAAGGTGAAATGATCACAATGATTCTTAAAGAAGATGCTTCCTTAGCATCCTTTCCCAAATTCTTAGCAATTATCACACTATTTTGTAGTCTTGTTCACCTGTTTGCTTAACTGGCTTAATTATCCTTGCATGTCAGTATTCAGCACCGTGTCTGACACGTAGTAGAGTCTGTGGAAATGTTCAAGTGGGTCAATGAATAAATAACCATAACCATTACCTCAGCCTTCTCAGGGTCTCTTGCTTTTTTTTTTCTTAAAAATTTCAACTTTTATTTTAGATATGGGGGTACATGAGGAGGTTTGTTCTATGGGTATGTTGCACCCAGATAGTGAGCATAACAACAAACAGGTAGTTTTTCAACTCATTACCTGCTCCCTTCCTTCCCGTCTAGTAGTACACAGCGTCTGTTAATACCATGTTTATGTCCATGTGTGCTCAATGTTCAGCTTCGACTTATAAGCGAGAACATATACTATTTGGTTTTCTGTTCCTGTGTTAGCTTGCTTAGGATTATGGCCTCCAACTCCATCCATGTTGCTGTAAAAACGTGATTTTATTCTTTTATATGGCTGTTTAGTATTCCATGGTGTATATGTACCATATTTTCTTTATCCAGTCCATCACTGATGGGAACCTAAGTTGATTCCTTGTCTTTGCTATTATGAATAGTATAGGGATGAACATACAAGTGTATGTGTCTTTTTGGTATAATGATCTATTTTCCTTTGGCTATATACTCAGTAATGGGATTGTTGGGTTGAATGGTAGCTGTGTTTTAAGTTCTTTGAGTAATCTCCAAACTGCCTTCCACAATGAAAATTTACATTTCCCACTAATGGTATATGGCTGTTTCCTTTTCTCTGAAGCCTCACCAAGTGGGACCTAACACCTACTTTTTTGTTTTGACTTTTTAATAATAGCCATTCTGACAAAAAACTGTATTAGTCCATTTTCACACTGCTAATAAAGACATACCCAAGGTTGGTCATTTATAAAGGAAAGAGATTTAATTGACTCACAGCTCCACAGGGCTGGGAGGCCTCAAAATCATGGTAGAAGGTGAAGGAGGAGCAAAGTCATGTCTTACATGGCAGCAGGCAAAGAGAGTGTGTGCAGGGGAACTCCCCTTTATAAAACCATCAGCTCATAAGACTTATTCACTATCATGAGACTAGCACAGGAAACATCACCCCCATTATTCAATTACCTCCTACTGGGTCCCTCCCATGACACATGGGAATTATGGGAGCTCTACAGGTCAGGATGAGATTTGGGTGAAGACACAGTCAAACCATATCAAAAACAAAACCAGCATTTATTGTTTTTTGACTTTATATTAATAGCTGTTCTGACTGGTGTGAGACAATATTTCATTGTGGTTTTGATTTGCATTTCTCTGATGATTAGTGATGCCGGGCATTTTTTCATATGTTTGTTGGTCACTTGTATGCCTTTTTTTTGAGATGGAGTCTTGCTCTGTTGTCCAGGCTGGTGTGGTCTAGGCTCACTGCAACATCTGCCCCCCGGGTTCAAGCAATTCTCCTGCCTCAGCCTCCCAAGTGGCTGGGATTACAGGAACCTGTCACCACACCCAGCTAATTTTTGTATTTTTAGTAGAGGTGGGGTTTCACCATGTTGGCCAGACTGGTCTTGAACTCCTGGCCTCGTGATCCACCCACTCTGGCCTCCCAAAGTGCTGGGATTACAGGGTGAGCCACTGTGCCCAGCCTGCATGTCTTCTTTTAAGAAGTGTCTGTTCATGTTCTTTGCCCATTTTTTAATTCATCTTTTTGCTTGTTGATTTGAGCTCCTTATAGATTCTGGGTATTAGATCTTTGTTGCAGACATAGTTGGCAAATATTTTCTTCCATTCTGTAAGTTGTCTGTTTACTGTAATGATAGCTTTTTTTGCTATGCAGGAACTCTATAGTTTACTTAGATTCCACTTGTCAATTTTTGTTTTTGTTGCAGTTGCTCTTGGGGACTTAGTCAAAACTTCTTTGCCAAAGCCAATGTCAAGAAGGGTATTTCCTATTTTTTTCCCAGGATTTTTATAGCTTGAGGTTTTATATTTAAATCTTTGATTCATCTTGAGTTAATTTTTGTATATGGTCAAATGTAGGGGTCCAGTTTCAATCTTCTGCTTATGGCTAGCCAGTTATCCCAGTACCATTTATTGAATAGGGAGTCCTTTTTCCATTGCTTGTTTTTGTTGGCCTTGTCAAAAATCAGATGGTTGTTAGGGTGGGGCTTTATTTCTGAGTTTTCTGTTCTATTCCATGCGTCTATGTGTCTGTTTTTGTACTGGTACCATGCTGTTTTGGTTACTATAACCTTATGGTATAGTTTGAAGTCAAATAGTGTGATGTCTCTGGGTTTTTTGTTTTTGTTTAGAATTGCTTTGACTGTTTGGGCTCTTTTTTCTTTGTTTGTTTCATATGAATTTTAGAATAATTTTTCTAATACTGTGAAGAATGACATTGGTAGTTTGATAAAAATAGCATTGAATCTATAAATTGCTTTGGGTGGTTATAGACATTAAGGATGTTGATTCTTCCAATCCATGAGCATGAAATGTTTTTCCTCTTATTTGTGTCGTTCCTGAGGATTTCTTACTTCTTAGGAGAGGAGCTGAATAGGGAAGGAAATGTCTCTTGGTGTCCTGGTGCTCAGCTCCTGGGTGAGCTTGCACACCCTCTCTCTTTCATTAATTGTCATATGAATTCCAGGCACATGAACTTGCTGTCATCAACATCTTTCCCATCAGCATTTTAACACATTGTGACTTGTCATATTGACTCCTCTTTCCTCTGAATCACATGGGTGAACACCACAAGGAGAATTTTGAGCAAAAAGTCCAGATATCAGAGAATATAATGATGCGATTCGATTTATTTAAAGTGGATAAACACAAAAAACAAATCTATGCTGTCAGAAGTCAAGAGAGTGGTTACATTTGAGGAGGAGGAAGAGGTGGTGAATAGGAGGGAGTATAAAGGGAGGATCCTAGAATGCTGATAATGCCCTTTTTCTAGATCTGTATTTGGCTACACAGATTTATTCATCTTTACGATAATCCATTGAGCTGATACTTAAGATCTGAACAGTTTTTATCCTCGTATTTCAGTTTAAAAAATTAAAACAGTAACAAGATCACAACAAAGTAAAATCATGACAATGATCTATAAGGACTAAAATGATCTGGCCATTTCTCTCTCTTTGACCTAATTCCTATGCTTCCCCCCTTGTTCACTTTGCTCCAACCCCCTTGAACAAGCCTGGGCTTTTGCATTTACAATCCTTTCCTTCTGGAATGCACTTCCTCCAAGTATCCATGTAGCTCACTCTTTTGCCTCTATAAAGCCATTAATGCAAACATTCCTGCTCAGAGAGTTGAAAGAAGTGTGACCACTCTTTCCTCACCATCAGCTCCTGTCCACCCTTGCACATCCCGCTGCCTTTGGATTTACCATCTAGTACTTACTATGTAGTATACTTTATAATTTACATATTTGTTTTTATTTATTTTCCCACCTCTCCACTAGAATGTAAGCTTCATAAGGCAAAGATTTTTGTCTGTTTTGTTTACTATTGTGAACATTCTTGAACAGTGCCTGGGACATAGTAAGCATCCCATGAATATTTTTTGAGTAAATGGACATATCTCAATTCCATCTTTGGGAGGTTTTCTGTCTGGAATGTTAAAGCTCATTTCCTTTTGGTGGCAAGTCTTGGGTTACTCAGGGGCCCAAGGACTCACCAGGAGCTGCTCTTCCCTTACCTAGAACACTCCTTTTAGTTCCTTTGATTTTATAGATTTCAATCGTTGGTTTATTTAACAAGTCATTCATTCTACTATTTGCTAACTTCTATGGTAATTCAATTAGTAAAACCTTAGGAACCATGGCATTTGGACCATATTTATTAGATCTGTTTTATGTGCCAGTTTCTGGACTGGAAACTGGGAATATAAACATCAGTAAGATACTCTCAGTCTTCTGGGTCCACCATTTGATAGAGGAGCCTGACAGGTAAATGAGTAGTTGGTTCTGATGTGGTGGGTTGGGCACTGAGCCAGTGTAGGGCTTGCCCCTGCATTGCCCTTGTATCACTACTGCACCTGCACATGCAATAGCAAACACTT